TCAGATGTAATTTGCTCTGTGAGTTCTGGCAATTTTAAATGACATTGCACTTTTTAATTTTTCCAAAGGCTCAGCAGCAAATTTATCCCAATCAAGAAAGCCTATTATTAATTTACAAGGACAATTGTAGGAGTCTTTATAATTTCTCTGTGCAATTATTTGCCGTAAATTGCTAATACAGAAATACATGAAGTTTGCAAGAAACAGGAACTTGCTTTTCATCTAGACAGATCACACTGCCCAGGTCTTGAATGTTGTCCAGAGGTTCTAGTGGTATTGACAACGTAAGAAATATAATCAAGCTTCTGGACAGTTTCTAAAATGTTTCACACTGACAGTACCAAAAAGGTAGAAGCATTAAGAGCTATTGTGAAGGGTAGGCTGGCCTCTAGCAGATTCCTTCACTTTGCTTGTATACAGCTGAGCTTTGGACCCTGGACTTTGGAATAAAAAGACTCTTTGTTCACCACTGAATGGCATTAGGCATGGGCTTCCTAAGGGGCCACCATGAAGCCTAGCATGAAGAGTGCAAACATTATCCAGAAAGCAAAATGAGAATGTGCGTGAAGAGATGATGGACAAATATTGCTACATATGCATATATATATAGTGTGTATATATATATATATATACACACACACACACATACTATATATATATATGTATATATCTATGTGTATATATATTTGTTACATATTTGATGAATTTGCTTGCAGAATATTATTTACTCAATTTTATGCATGCAGTATATATTACAAATGTGAGCCATTGCTGACTGTGTATGCACATGCCTTCACCGAGAGTATGTCTGTATTTATTGCTGTCTGCCACAGTCAAAACACCCCAAATGGCAAATTTTTAAAGTTTAGAATTTCAATGCAGGTAAAACTAAGGTTGCAGGTCACTCAGTTCCTATCTCAGTTGTATATCCTACAGTGCCATCTGACTGAAGATACTTTGTTAGCATGTGAATGATGGAATGCAGAACATTTACAAATAGCACACCCTTATTCCGGTAATGGAGAAAGTTCATTGGCTTAATTCTTCTGTACTTCGTAGCCATAGCTCCACTGTGTGTTCAGTATGTCTGGTCTCTTTTCACTATAACCAACAGAAGCACCATACAAAAGTCTTACAATGGATGTCTTAATCTCTCTGTGTGCTTTTAGAGCATTATTTTGAATTCCATCATGCAGGCTTTTTTTTTTTTTTTTTTTCTTTTCTCTTCTGAAGTTTTATTACAACAACAGAATTCCCAGGGAGCTTTAGGGACAAGGTTCGCATAATATTGCCCTAAAGTTTTACTCAAGGGGTGGAATCTGCTGATCTCCTGATCATCTTTTTGTGGTGTTTCTCTTTCTGAAAGATGCAGTGCGCAGTCTTACAGAGTTGTTAACTGTGTACAGATTTTTTTATTGTTTACCAGACAGTGCACATCTACGAACCTTTCATGATGATTTCTTTCTCTGACCTCTCAGTGACTAGGCATCTTGCTCCTTAACACTGAGGGAGGCTGAAAAATGCTTGAGTTGCTCAATGTGTGCCTTCTATACCAGTTTCAAAATGGCTTATTCTTCTGGTTTCCATGGTGACAATTAACACTGTTACAAGGCATTGTTCCAGTCTCCATTTGGACAGAATTTTCGGGTGTGATTTTTCACACAAAAAATGTTTTATATAATTTTTTTAGGAAAAAAAAAAAAAAAGAGAGAAAAAGCACAGTTTAGTATAAAGTGTCGAAAAATGTGTCTCAATCAGCCTGCCTGGATTTCTTAAAATGTTTTTATCAGGGGAAGTAAGGTTTTAACTTGCTTTGTTTTGGAATTCAACTTCTTTTGGCTTAAATATTTTTGCCAAACTTCTTCATGGATAAATGGTACTGCATTTATTTCAATTATTTTCTTTGTCCTTTGAGAAGTATTGATCGTATTGAGAGAAGGAATAAAAGGCCAAATTCTTTAACTTACGTAACAATGTTTTGGATTTCTTTTGAGTGTCCTCGGGAACACAAAACCAGGCATGCATGCACACAGCTAATCATGCTGTAAATATTTTGCAGTTTTTCCAGTACATTGCTGTTTGGTTTTTTTTTTTCCCAGTTTATATGGCAGGTGTTGTGGGAAATAAAATATTACCCATTTATTTATTATTGAGGTTATTGTGAGAAGCCTGTGATCTTAACTTCCTTAATCTCATTTTTGGCTATTAAACAGTAATCTATATCATAACATCCACAGGCTGTCACAATAGAGCAGTCTTTGCTCACTTAAAGCCAAGGAAAGAATGAATCTTTAGATTAAATTATCTTCTCACCACAGGATTAAGTAGTCCTACCAGTCTAGGGTTGTGCAGCACTGATAGAGCTGGTAGCTAATTTTTCCATGCAACTGCTCAGAGTGTAGGTGTTTAATGGATTAAAAAATAGCATTAGCAATAGCATCTCATGTTATCAGTTCTCAAACTCTACCTCCTGTACATTAAGCTCTTCCCTTAAGTTAAAATACACATTGCATGTTAAATATCCAGGAGTGAAACAATACTGACTCTCAGTCATATACGAGTACAACTGATAATCAACTGGAATCTCTCATCTTTTACTGTTACTGTATAATGCATTTTCTATCAATCAGCACTTTTATCATGCTTGTTTATACAGTAGATTACACGGTGACAAAGACAGCACGTACATAAAACCTAGCTTATTTAGTTTTTAATGTAATAACCTTTTATAACATCTGTCACACTATTTGGATTATGCAGCAGTGAATTATTTTATCTAGTCCAAAATGAAATGAAATGTCTTCAGTTTCTAAGTTAACAAGAGCATTGTAGTTATGAAACATGCAGTGTGTTTTATTTCATCATCAGCCCTGCACTGCCCAGGAACATCCCTAGCCCCAGCCCAGGCAGCAGCAGGTGCCAGCCTAGAGCAGGTGATGAGCAGTAAGTGGCTGTGCCTGCACCAGTGACACACAGCTAGAGGACTCCCTCAGTCTATTAATTCACTTGACAAAAGAAAGGGAGTCGCACGTACTGGATTTCAGTGCCTAGCAAATTGGGCTCTGGATTCCCTTTGATATTACATGTACTTATGGAAATAATTATGCAAATCCTTTTTGGCTATATCATCTTTAAATAGACATCAGATTACATAAAGAAGATTGTAATCTCCTCCAGCAGCCATTCTAGCCGAGAAGGCAATAACACAGGACCAGGAATCGTACTTGTTGAACACATCAGTCAAATAAAATGGTGTTGCCTCTTGGTGGGTCCAGCCCTAGTGTCCAACCTGGTAGGTATTGCCTACAGTGGTACACATCTCAAACCTCAGCTACAGCACACCGAGTGTCAAAAGGCAAGTTCTTTATAAACAATTCCTTGGGCTTTACCATGCATATTCATGCAATTTTGGATACGCAGACACCTGATCAGTGTTCATTAATAATGAGAAATGGTTTAAATCACCTCATTTAAAACATTTGCTCTATGATCCACAAATGACTAATATTTGCTGAAGTTTACATAATACAAATGATGTGCATGTGTTGTGTAAATGAGAGATTAAAATATGAAACTAACAATATGCAAACATATGCATGGAAATGCTGAGAACCTGATAGCTGAAACAGTGATTTCACACCTTTATTATTTTCTTTAAGCTGTCTGCAATTGTATTTTTTCTTTGTTTTCCTACAGAGAATGCTCTTGGATCTGGCAAAGGCACCCATGTTTTAAACATTCATAATTCCAGTTTAATTTTTTTATATTTAGCCCAGTTATTAACATTTTCAGTATGAGCTGCAATAGCAGGTTTTTTGACTGAATTTGAAGCAAAGAAAGCTTAATGTTTAGGAAGCAATTTTCTAATAGCTTTGCATAATTTATGTATGTCTTGTAAACACCTTTGCTAGTATATGTGCTGAACTCTCTTCTTCCAGTAATAGGCACATTTTTGGCCATATCAGAAGTTCCATTTCAATGAATTTTTTCACACTTAATTAGCTAAACTATATGGAGGGTACATATATGTGGATGCTTATGTGTTAATTTTTTTTTTTATTTACTGTACAAGTATGAAAACATAATTAAACACTGTAATGACTATATACGTAATAGAGAAGTCAGGTTTTTGGAGAATACAGTTTTAAGAAAAATATTTATTTTCCAATTCTTCTGTATATTAATATACATTTTTATAGACTATGTAAATAATATAGACCTAAATATTTAGAAAGTCCTATGAAAGAATTTCTGAGAGAAGCTTTCAGTCTTGTAACTGTTTTCTCTGTTTTTTTGTTTGTTTTTTTTTTAAACAATAAATAGCAGTGCACACAAATAGAAGGTATTTTCAACCTGAAGAAACTATTGGACTGCATTAACATTGTGGCTGTTCTCTAATGTGGGCCAGTTCACTGTTCCTGTTGGTTGATGCAATAAAAATCAAGTAACTGGAATTGTGTTTTAGGGGATCTATTTCTAATTGTTTTTCGAAGGTCAAACTCACATTTTCAGGCCCATGTGTTACACAGAAAACACAATAGGAGAGAGAATAAATAAACTCTAGAGGAAACATAAGTATGAAATTATTTCCTTGGGGTTTTTTGTTTCATTTTGGTTTGTTTTCCATGAAGAGCCTCAGTGTAACTTCCTAAAGTAGCATATTTTAAAAATAAGATACCACTAACATGAATGAGGCAAGAGCAGACCAAGATTCAGATGGGAGATGGTTAGTGGGTATTATTGTACAAGTGAATATTGTGAGAGAGTGAACATTACTATGTGTAATCAATTGCTAACTGCCTGCATAGATGTGTCACCCAGAAGTCTACGTGCTTGGTACCCAAATCTCTTACGTTATGAGAAGTTTGTGCTTTAAAAAAATAAAATTAGAAAATGTCAAACAAAGCACGGGCATAACCAAGAACATAAAATTAAAGTTGATTTTTTTATGGAGAAAACTCTCTACAGCAACTCATACTATATCTTTCTTTTCATTTTAGAGATACAATGTAGAAATGTCAATCAGGCACCCAAAAAAGATGGAACTGCTTAGTAAGGTTGAAGCTCTGAAGAAAAGTGGTGTTTTACTACCAAACGATCTCCTTGAAAAAGTGGATTCAATTAATGAAAAATGGGAACTGCTTGGGGTATTTGCATTTTTATTACTGTTTGTGGGTTATGTGTACATTTTTGTGTGTTGAAGTACACTGTCTGTCTGATTTCTAATTTGGAGCACAAATATCTCTCTCTTTCAATCCACCACGTACATTTCAAACAAGCTACTCATTCTATTATAAAAACTCCATAGCCTTTTCCTCTTCTGTTGATTTTTTTTATTCCATGCTTGTCTCCTGTCTGACTTTAATAATTTTAGTTCTTTAATACATAAAAAATGTAAGTAAAATATGCCATGTATTACGGGTATGCACCAAGTCAACTATAATGCAGTATATCTGATATACACTGACTGTCATGCTTGAGTGAATGTTAATAGAATTTATTCTGAAGGTACATGTTAGAGACATCTACTGTTTAACTATTTACTATACCTTTAAGATGAAAAGTGGGGTTGTCACTGCATATTTCAGGTCACACTGATGGCTCAAAAACAAATATACGGATTCAGTACAAATCTGCATACCTGAAGCTGAGAATACAGCCAGGATATGTTTCATGCTGTTGTATTCATCTCACTTTTGATAAAAGCCAAAAAAGTTTCATGTAATTCATTTCACGCTATGATGGGCTGGGTCTCAGCCAAAGAGTGAGATACAAGAATCTGGCAAAAAAAGCAATATAGAGATTCTGTTACCCAGAGACCGGTGATGGCACTGTGCAGGAGACACTATTGTCCTATTGTTGTAAAACAGCTGAGGGAGAGAGGTCAAACTATATATTTTTCCATCCACTTCTCTCCTTAATTGCCTTCACTTCAAATCAAGGGTAAGATAAATTTATAAATTACTTTAAATGATTAATTATAGATGTGTGGTATTAGCAATACATTGCATAGTTTTGCATGCTATTATCCTAGTTTAAAAAGTATTTCTAATATTTTATGAGTAAGCTATACATGCAACCTGCCAACAGCATTTTTAATACTGGGTTGTGTCACTTAAGGTTATGTGGTAATGCAATAGCCATTTCAGAGGGTGGGGCTTTTTAGTTAAGCAGAGTTGCTTCTAAATGTGCAAATTGTCAGAAAATGTTAAAATTTGCCTTATGACCAGTGAGCTTATTACTTTAAATTTTAATCTGCAGCATCACCATAAGCATTTTGATCTTGTTTGATCATTAATAAATTTACTGATTAAAAAAAGATTCACAAACCCAGCCTTTTACATCTGATCATGACAACTTTTATTTTTAAAATAATTTCAGATGTAAGCCTTACGTTTATGAATTTCAGAGTATTTAATCATCTTAATTCAGTGGCACTGATTCAATCTGGTAGTATCTAAAACTATGAAATAAGATCGTAATTCTTAAAATCTAGGAAAACTGTCTTAAAAAAATTGGAAACCCTTTGCTTCTCAGTATGTTAAAATCAAAATACACCTCCAGATTAAGTTTTACCATTAATTTCAGCATTTACAAAAAAATAAAATATGACTATTACAGTTTTTCTGCTAAATGCAGTTTCATGAATAATAAGCAGAGTTTGATAGAGTTTTGTTTAATTTAATAAAAACCTCTGCAGAAACTAACAGCACTAGACATACTGTTTTAATTGGCATGATTACATTTTAATTGGCATGAAAAAAATTAAAGACAAGGATTTTAACTTCTAACAATGGCAAAATAGAGGGATATGGTTTTTAATATTACTTTCATCTAAGGTGAACACTGTGGAATGGAAATACATTAGAATGAAATGTCAGTGGTGCGTACAGTTTAATCTGTGAAATTTTGTCCCCTGTGCTGAATATTACTCTGTCTCAATTGCATATTAAACAACCCTATCAAGGCAGGCATTGGCATCTGCTGTGCTGACACAAATTGTGAATTAAATGAAATTGATGTCCTCTGTCGTATATTTATGAAGACGGACCATTCTCTGAAGTATTCTGTTTATGAAGAATTTATGATTGCAAACTGTTCCAGAACAAAAAAGTGGCAATAAATTCTTTTTTGTGACCCTACCCTCCAAGGGCATTGATTTCACCTCCTGCTGCTACTTTTGTTGCAGCATAAAAACAATAGCTAGTGCTGGATTCCACTGAGGGTCTTCAAATTATCAATATTTGCACCATGAAAATAGAAGGGTGTTGCCAAGAAAGCATGTTTTTTCAGTTATGATCTCCTAAAGACGTGATTTACAGAATGCCACATAGCAGATTAGTATCTGTTGCTCTAATTTTATTCGTGTTTTAAAGCTTATTTTTGGAAGCTAATTTCATTGTTATAAATTATATTCCAGTAACTTTCTACAGCATTCACTTTCAACAGACAGACATACTGGGTCACCTAAAACTGTATCTTCATGCTACAACAATTAACCGCGTCTAATTATCAGTTTAAAAGGTTATTGGATGTGAGTGTCAGTGTATATTCAATATTCTACAATCAGTAACACAGATCTAGTGCTTATAATAAGTGTCAGCCTGACAGCCTCTTATAGGTCAGATAAAATACTGCTTGGCATAGAGGAAGCAGGCAACAGCACATCTCTCTTGTGATGTTAAAGGATTGCCTTTCAAAATACTGAAAAGGAAGGTAACTTTCTATCCCTGGCCTCTTCAGAATACTCATTAAGCACCCAGCGTCCACTATCAAAATGTTATTCAGTGATTCTGTTATTAGAAATACTACTTTGAAAAGCGGGAGTAAATTAGTTTCATTAGCAATAAGAGGCGAACGTTTATTCTGGTCCATTATCTTAAAGTGGATGCTTAACACAGAGAACTGAAATTCGAATTTGGTCGCCTTAAAATGTGGCCGTATGTTCAGGAGCAGTGAGGATTTTTGCTGTCTGAATGAGTTCATCCATTTTTAAAAACAAACCAGCTGTTTTGTCACCTAACTGCCCCAGGGTTACATGTATGGGAATTATAACCTAGCAGTCATACCTCAAAAAAAAATCTCAGTATTTCTCCAAAAATTTAAATGGTACCCTGGGTAGGAGTCTGGTGAACTCAGTGATTGTCATATTTTCTGTTGCTGCCTAGAAACCAGCAACTCTTAAGGCCATAAGTGTTTAAAGCCACAGACAAATTCTGTAGAGTAACTAGTTTACAAAGTTATGAAGCATTTTGTCTCCTCTGTACCTAATTACTCTTATTAAACACTGATTTATAATCCTTCTAGCAAAGTCGGTGACCCAGAGAGAACAGTATAAGTGAGAAACAAGGGTACGAAAATTGAAATGTATTGAAACAAGGAAACAAAGAATGAAATTGGTTGATATTTGTCATAATTATTAAAAAAACCACATCTCTAGTCATTTAACAGATTTTTCTTGTTGCACATTAACCTATATATGTTTTGGTACATAATAATCTATGTTTTTTTTTTATCTGATGCATTAGAAAACCCTAGGAGAGAAGATCCAAGACACAATGGTAGGGCACAGTGGGTTAGGTCCACGTGACCTGCTCTCGCCTGAAAGCGGCAGCCTGGTAAGGCAGCTGGAGGTCAGGATCAAAGAGCTGAAAGGGTGGCTGAGAGATACAGAGCTTTTCATCTTCAATTCCTGTCTGAGACAAGAAAATGAAGGAACAATGAATGCTGAGAAACAACTGCAATATTTTAAGGTAATAAAAAAACTATCGTGGCTTTCGTAGAGAAACTCTTCTTTATGGTGGGATGAAATATTTAGCTTATGCATAACATAATGTGATGTATGTGTATATTTAATTATATATTTTCATCTTCATTTATGTGTTCGCTCATGTTTATTTTACTGAATCCTTACAATAATATTTATTTCTGAAATACTTTTTGCTAAAGGAGGCTTTAGAGGGCTAATTGCACCACAGTTGCAAAAGCAATAGTATTCTTTCCTTTGACTTTACTGTAAAATAGAGAATCATAGAATGGTTTGGGTTGGAGGAGACCCTAAAGATGATCTATTTCCAACCCCCCTGAAATGGGGAGGGGCAAAAAAAAAGCAGCTGAATTTTATCACAAAAGCTTCACTCTGAATTTCACTCTCTGCATAAGGTAATTAAGGTCTTGTGTGATCATCAGTTTAATAACCTATATCTCTGCACATATGAGTCAAGAACAGTCTATCTGAGGTAACAATTACAGTGAGCTAAATTTAGCATACATGAGAAAACATTCAAGGTTGTGGTGACTATATACATGGAAAAGACATATACCCTATGAGATTTGCATTAATCTAGGCCACAGCCTAAGCCTAAGCCTGAAGATTTATAGAAAGGATGGAAAAGATTGTAGCCACAATGCTTTATTGAGATGATAAGCTCTTTCAATCGCAGGCCAGTGTTCAGCTTTGCAATCGACTTAGTAGAGGTTGCATGTTTTGTTCCATTTCCCACAAGTAGTAGTAACATTCAGGAAAGAGGGCTAATTTAGCAAACACACCTGGTAGAACTGTGCAATTTTCTTCTGTTCATAGTTTCTAAATAAACCCTCATCCGAGTCATCATTACAGGTCGCTTTACTCTGCAAGTGATCTTTGACCAAAGAATAAGAAAGGAATCACAAGTCATTGTAAGCTTTAGAGGTAAAGAGGTTTTTTCTCTTCCATTAGTACACCAGGGTGTCTAGAACAACAGCACTGTCAAGGTGATGGACAATTTCTTAAATATACACCTCAAAGAGTATGTTGCCAACACTTCTAAATATACCTCTTTTTTTTTGTAAAAGTGTTCAAGAAAACAACAGCAGAAATATTATTTCCTTCCCACTTAGTCATTCCTTAACTCTTCATATTCTAATCATGATGATTAATGAGAAGTGTGTGTCAATGTAGATAAAGTCAGTGGTTTTCAGGCTCCTGAACTTGTCCATTTGAAAGCAATTTTAAGTTTTCTTATGACATCAATACTAATTTTTTAATGATTTGCACTTTTCTGCTAATGGGGGAAAAAGGTCATGATGATTCTGTTTGATCTATCAGCAAACTTCAAAGCCAGCGATTAGGAAGGACTGTTGAAAGACCTGCAGAACTTCACAGCAATAGATGCATATTTTCCATAGGCAATGCTGGACATTTTTATTTCTGTAGATAATTATGGCATTTATTTAAGTGCAGAACTACGTATTTTAAAATCTAATTTCAGGCAAGATTTTTTTTAAATCTAAATTTATATATACACACACACACACACATAGAAATGCCATACCAATCTTACTTATTTTGTGCATAAATCTCTCAAATATTTTTATACGTATATGACATGATAGCATGCCAAAAGGTTAAATGTTAACCAAAAGGCTAGATGTTAAACAGTATAGTATCACCTACCATGATGTAGCCAGAGTACTTCCTTACTTGGTTGACTATCTATTAATTACACAAATAATACATTAATTATTTTCAAAATGGTAGCCATTAGAGTATAAAAAATAATTACCCATCATATATGGTGAGAGCACATCATTTTGTCATATATATTGAACCATCTTTGTCTCATTAAATCTGAAATCCACTATAAGTAAGTTTTCCATTCTTCACTGATCTCCTGGGGAAGTGTATAAAAGAGAAAATGGATATAATTAACAATACTGCAATGTATAATACATATATTTGAGAAAGAACATTTAGAACATTTTCAAAAACATTAGCTATGCCACTAGTAGAAAACCTGCTGGGGTTTAGTTTGACTTACTTTCCACTTAACTTAAGAATTTAACCTTATTACTGCTTTCACTGTGGTAAGTGAATCATTGTTTCTTAATGGAAATTTACTGTGATGCACCATCCCAATACACACAGCCACTGTACACAGGGAAACATTTTTAATAAAATAAACTCAACAATGCCGTTGATTTTCATTCCATAATGTTATGCTTTAAATTACACTTATGCCTTAGGAAAAACAGTTATTCCATTTTTTGGGGTGTTTTCCTTCCATTTTGGAACTGGAGGATGAATTGAATGTGTAGCTCATATGCAGCTGGGACCCAAGATGAGAGCAATGTGGAGGAAGGAGTAGTTGTTAAATTCACTAGTAAGAAACTATTTCAACTTCTTAGGCTTTTTTATAGAAAATCATGCCATATAAATTTGAGTGTTCTTTTTATTAAAGAATTGGCTACTCCATTATTTTCTTTTGGAACACTCCTCTGTAATAATAATACTTAGAATTTCTATAGTACTGTCCAGTCAAGGAGCTCTACATGCTGCACAAACATTACTGAACTAAGCCCCACTAAACATTTAAGGCAGGTATTGTTATCATCCCCTCTTTAGAAATGAGGGAAATAAAATACATAGAGATTAAATCAGTTTTCAAGGTTTTCACAGAAAGTCAAGTGTAGCCTAAGCACAGCTTCTGTTCAAGAAAGGAGAAAGAATGAACACAAGATATTGAGCTGTAAAGAGGGAAGCCTGGGTGTCTGACTCCTGTTATTTCTTCTGTTGCAACACAAAATGTAGACTAGACACAGGATGTAGAAGAAAATAATAATAATAATAAAAAAATACTTCATATTCTTGAGCTCGTCATAGCTACAAACATATGTTTATTTTATTTATTCATGCTTTTTATTCCTCTTTAAGTCCCTTGAGTTCATGTTTTCTAGCTTTCCACAGAAAACCATGAGGGCAAGATCCAGGATCTTACTTTTTTAATGAAATATGAGATTCTCAGGTAAACACATAGTTCTAGCCCATGAAATACCAGATATAATGAGACTGATAATTGGCACAACTGATTTCCTAGACTAACAATGTACAGCTATTTTGTGGGTCAGGAGAGATTTGGAGCTGTAAAGAATGAGAAGCAATAATAAAAAGAGTTTGCATTCTTTCATGAAAGTTTTACTAAGTTTCATTTGAGTAAGTTCTAGCCAGAAATTTATGTGCCTGTTAGCTTGTCAGTAGAAGTGGTCTGCCATGTTTCTTTTATGTGTCTGGGACTTCAAAAAGCATGCTTTTTTTCTCTGCAAAGTGCCCTCCAAAAGCAGCAAGGGAGCCTAAATAATTAGTCATATATTTCTGTCACTTGCAATAAAACTTAAGACTTTAAGTGTTTTATACAGAGAAATGATCAGCCTCAAAAAGCTGTTTTGGCTTTGGCTCACAGACCAGATACTCAAGAATAAGCTTAGATTTGTGAGTACCTGTCTGTCTCAGAATCCCTTCTCAATCATGTATGACTAGGAAAGCCTCTAGTGTTTTCAGTAGCAAGATTTATAAAGGAACCTGTCCTCTTTCTCCTCCAAACTTGGATGGGGAACAAGATTTTCCTTTTCAGAACAGGATTTTACCAGAGATTTTCCACTAAATTGTGTTTGGTGAAAATAATGTTGCTTTTCATGTCATTTTTCTCATCAGGTTTTATTTGAAGCAATAAGCAACATGCTATATAGAGTCATACCTGTCTCTTAAATCTTTATTTGTGTCTTTAACAAAAATAGTCCTGGTTTTCACCAGTACTGAAAGCTTGTGGTTTTCATTGACTTTGGTCAATATATCCATTAAAGAAATCAGACTCTTAATCATACAAAACATGATGAAAATTTCTTCTCATTTGAAATTTCTAAAAGTCAAGGGTTTATTGAATTCCACAGCTAGTATTATTTGTTGCTATTTCTGTTTGCCTTGTAAACAGTGTAAATTATGTGATGCTTGTAACTGTTTCTAATGATTAGAGCCATTCAGAACTGTAAGTTTTCATCTTCCATTACATTTATGACTTGAGCATACCCGATGATGTAGTGCCATTTTTAAATAAAAAGTATTTCTCAGCAGCATCTCTTATTTCTCCAGTGCCTAAGGCAACTAAACTTTCTTATTATATAATATAGCTTGCATTGGCAATTAATAGTCAATATGCTTTACAGTGCTTTTTTATATTTACTGAAAAGTTTGTAGAAGAGTCAGCACTGTACTTCATACAAAAAAATCAGTTAAATGTATATCAGCCAAATAAAACACAAGTGAGTTTGGGAGCATGTATGATTATGGCCAAAATGAAGTTAAACTATTAATGTTGAATAAAGATTTGGAGATACAGAAATTAAAGAAAGTGCTTTCCTGCTAGAGGTGTGAGGAATTGCTTTCACCACTGCATTTTGGATCCTTTACAGTTTTTAGAATGATGTTTCTGGCAGAGCTGCAATCAAAGAATTACAGAATTTCAATATGCATGTAACAAAAGTATGCAAAACAGTCTCCCACAGAAAGTCCAAAAGAAGTCAAGATGGATTTAATCCTTTTCACACCTCAATGATGACCAAAAAAAGTTATAGTTTTAATAAATTTCTCAAAAGAAGTCCAAAAGAAGTGTGACTTCAGAGACCTAAAACTTTTCACAGATGAAGAATTGTTTACCCAAATTTTGTTTGGATTAAATTTTAGCAAACAGAAATGCATACAGTACTAAATTGTACAAATCCAGGTAGGATTCCAAAGTTGGATATAGCCTGATGCTTCTCACAAAGGTTTGAAGCAAATTCAGACTGAATTTCCATGACCTACCATCCCAAAGTAGCACTTCATTGGACCACTGAAATGGGAAGCCACATCTTTATATTAAAGCAGCTTCACATACATATTTTTTGGCCCCAATACAATACATGATTGTATCTCTAAGTTGATTTATTATACTAAAATATC